GAGGGGGGGGAAGGGGGGGGGGGGGACACAGAAAGGTACTGGGCATTTTTTTACCTTAATGTAGAGAATGCATTAAGTTAAAAAACACCCTGCCTTTAGTAATACTTTAAGGCAGGGCTCTCAAACCTCCGACCCTCCAGCTGTGGTGAAACTACAAATCCCATGATGCATCTCTCTTCGAGAGTCATGTCTGTGAGAATCTTGCAATGCCTAAATGGGATTTGTAGTCCCACCACAGCTGGAGGACCGGAGGTTTGAGACCCCTGCTTTAAGGATAAGGTTTCACCCTTGCATATCAAGGCTCACTCTACCAGTCTTGGGTCTTTCAACATCAGACTGTTTTTCAGATTTGCAAAGCTGGCACCTGGTCTTCAGTTTATGCATTCTATATTTTTTGCAGGGTGAATGTTTAGGCCTCTGTTGATGCAAGCTTTGCCAACTGCCCCTAGTTTTAGCACAGTTATCATAAGGGCTGTTAGCACTTTTTGTATGCTGTGTTGCTCACCCTGCAGTTAGATTGCTTTTGAATGTCCCAATTTCTAAAATTGACTTCTGATCCTTCTCATTTTCTTCTATGTCCCTTAATGGACGAAAAAGAAAACAGGGTTTTTGGACTGACTGTAAATCCATGGGTAGGACTCAGGTCCTACCCATCTGTATTTGCATTTGAGAAGTACACCTAACACTGACCTTCTATACAACTGAAGTATTATAGGTTGGGAGGAGGGTTATACCTGGTCAGCCAATGGCTTTTTAAAAACATGTATATGAAATTGTTGCAAGTTCCATTGTTGTAGCATTACCGCCAGACTGATATCTAAAGAGTATCTGACACTCTTTATGAATTTCAGGGTTAGTGGTACCCACAAGCCCCTAAACCTAATTTTAATTTAGTCCTTAGGCTGAATGCTAAAACTGTACCTAACCTGACGTAACTTTTTTACCTCTGCCTCATACTTTAACCAGGATTAACCCTATATTTTTCATATTAGGTGCATGCATGCTAATTAATGTGTAAGTAACACTTACTGGTAACTATAAATACTCTCATAAAGATCACAGTCCTGCCCCTGGGAATGCCTTTACTTTCTCTGGACTAAAATAATGACCCTGGGATAATGCAATCCCATAAATCCTGATGCCTTCTCTTTGTAGTAGCCTTTATGTTTTGGCTGTGTGTATACATCAACCCAGTTCAGACTCTTGATGCTGCCTCTCATCCCATGAGCTCCCAAGAATATACTTGCCTTGTGTTCACAAAACACGCAAAAGCCCACGTTTAATGCTCATGGCATCATTCATTGGTAATGGCACTCCAAAAGCACCAAGCAAGATGTGGTTGAAAAACGCATGGAGCTCGAAGCTAATTAACGTACATGGGCTTCTTTGCCAGACCTGTGGGACATAGGGCAGTCCATTGAATTGCATGGGCTACCCCATGTGTGACACATGACAGCATGCACAAAGCTGATGCAAGCTTTGGGCATAAGGTCCTCCAAGCAGTACTTTGAGCGGCAGACTGCCCCCAGTTTTATCACAGTTATTATATGGGCTGTTATCACTTTTTGTATGCTGTGTTGCTCACCCTGCAATTAGATTGCTTTTAAATGACCCCATTTCTAAAATTTACTTCTGATCCTGTGTCCCTCAATGAGTGAAAAAGAAAAACATGATTTTTGGGCTGCCTGTAAATCAATTTGAGGTTCATTAAGGCTCCCTAATTTCTCCCTAAGGCAGCAGTATACCCCTATGATTTGCTTCTGATCCTGTGTGCCTTAATGAACTCCATGAAACAGATTTTATGGGGAGTACAAAAATCCTGTTTTTTTCCTATGTAACGCCATTGGAGACATTTTTCCATCACTTCCTATCCCACCAATGGCAATACAGATGGCAATAAAAGGGTTATATAATTAGAGGCTCTAAACCTCCGCAAAAATGATAGTTGACCATTTGTTATGGTGAGCCAGTGACTACAAGCCGAGTTATTGGGCCAAACCAAGCACATGCTGAGGCACCAGAACTCCTGATCTGCATAATTGTTATTTTTGCTTAATATGACAGCCAGGCAAGCAATTGGAGATTCCATACTTCTCTTAGCACATACTTCCTCAAAATAATTACAAAAACATGGAAATTACTTCCTTGCAAACTGCATTACCAAACAGTAGCTTATTATATGGTATCTTGCTCCTTTGTGTTGGCTATATCTTTAGCTATTATTTATCATCTGTTATTATACAGTATATTGTAATAGAAAAATAACAGATTAAAAACCTCTTGACAATCTGTGACAGGTGATATGTCTGGCAGCCCATGAAGATAAAAAAGTTATACAGGGCAAACTATTTAGGATTAGCAGGGAAGTGAGAGCAGTCTGGAATGTTTCACCCCATGTACCAAGATTGTAAAATTCCCTTGAGCACTACGTGAAAAGCAAGATGCACAAAAGGGCTTTTACAATGTTGGATGACATATAGGGTTATATCACATGGAACCAGAGATTACTGGATCCTTTTGTTTTGTGTGGGTCTTGTCATATTATTCCTTGTTCTATACATTTCTGTTCTGAGTAGTAACTCACACTGATAAAAAATATACATGGAATTTGCTATAGTTATTTAAAACAATCATTTGATCAGTCATAGTCATTTTCAGATAGACTTCTTCCAACTTTCATCAAATGCTAGTTTTATATTTTGTAAACCCCACATAAAAACACAAAGCATGGTTGCATATACAGTATACATATTTTTTTCATGCACTCATGGTTGATCAAAAAAGGTCACATATTTGTCACTAGGGGTGACCCTAAAAAGCCTCTAAAAGTGTTACTGACTCCATATTAATGTTGTTGCCATGCCGAGACTACTGTATGGAAACTGAAGCAAACAGATTACAGGGCTTTTTGCCCAAAGCTTTCTTTACCAAGCCTGCACTGTACAGATGCTGCACTGAATTGGACTGGTGATGCGTGGAAACAGCGCTGCTATCCATTGCTCCAGTTGCCAGCAGCTGTCTTGGGCATTATAGAAAAAAGTGTTTCCCTTCACATTTACATGAGTAAAATTATAGGTATTCTTTATGGTTGATATGATCATCACTACCTTTATGCTTTCTTCCATTCTAACTCAAACATACACAATTTTATGGACTATGAAAATGCATTTCATCGCTTTCTAATAATTTTTCTTTCTCTTTTAGAGCTAGAGTTTGAGACAGAATGGATTGCCTGCATCTAGTATTCCTCTTTTGTTTGATCTTGACATCAAACACCAGTAAAGCAGATGATACCGATCAGGAAGCCATAACTTGGCGCATAAAGGAAATACCTCACATAATCACTTCAGATGTTGTCCACCTCAACAGCCCAAAGTTTGAAGCAGAACCAAATCTAGAACTCCATGGAACCTGTGGTATTGAATGCCAGAAGAAACTGCCACCACCTACTCTACGTGATCTTGAAAACTTTTTGTCTTTTGAGACTGTGTATGACAACGGTACACGCACTATGACAAAAGTAAATGTTCAAACCTGGTTTTCCGAAACCCTCAATCAGGGCAATGCATCAGTAAAACATAACATGCGTAGGAAAAGACAAGTTTATGGCACAGATAGTAGGTTTAGTATATCAGACAAACATTTTATGACCAACTATCCCTTTAGTACTGCGGTTAAGTTATCTTCTGGTTGCAGTGGTACCCTTATTTCACCAAAACACGTTCTAACAGCTGCCCATTGTGTACATGATGGTACAGATTATATTAAAAATTCGCAAAATTTACGTGTTGGAATTCTTAAGATTAGGACAAAGAGGGGTGGCAAAAGAAATCGGGGGTCAAAGAAAAACAAAGGAGGTACCTCTGAGGACATTAGTCAAAGAAAGGATGGAAGAAAACAAAGAAAAAAGTCAGTACAAAAAAGGTCAGCAGATGTAGACCAAAAAAGCACAAGCACTAGGAAAGAAAAAGACTCCATGTCTGGAAAGCCTTCCTTCCAGTGGACAAGAGTAAAAGCTATTCAGATTCCTAAAGGCTGGTTAAAGGATGTATCAAAAAACATGTCTCTAGACTATGACTATGCAGTTCTGGAATTAAAGCGTGCTCAAAAGAAGAAGAAGTTTATGGACCTGGGAATCAGTCCAGAAATGGACAAGATGCCAGGGAGTAGAGTACATTTCTCCGGATTTGATGATGACCGCCCTGGGCAGTTGGTATATCGGTTTTGCGGCGTTTCGGTGGAATCCAATGACCTATTTTATCAGTATTGTGATGCAGAACCTGGCTCCAGTGGTTCTGGTATTTATATTCGTCTCAAAGAGCCAAATAAGAAGAGGTGGAACAGGAGAATCATTGCCATCTATTCTGGTCACCAGTGGGTGGACATTGGTGGAGAACAGCAGGATTACAATGTTGCCATCAGAATTACTCCACTGAAGTATGCACAGATATGTCTATGGATACATGGCAACAATGCTGATTGTTCTCAAGGATGAACCTTAGCTCATGGCTAAAACGCAGCGCAGACAAGGTTTTGTAAAGGCAATCTACTGCTTTAACATGAGAGCAGGAGATTTTAAAGAGAAAAGCACTTAATGAAAATGTGCTAGACTTTATTAGATAAAATTGATACACTGCTACCTACATGTCATCAGATTTGGATTTTGAATGAAGTATGTAATGCCTACATTGTAGGTTGTTCTACTCTATTTATTGGAAGGCAATCAACTACTCCACTTCATACATGTGGTATTCTCAGGACAGCCCTTCTTTGTACTGCAGTCACAACATTTATTTTAACTGGTAAACCCTAAACACCTTGCCTTGTTTCTGAGCTCAGTAGCTCTACAAGATGAGAAATTACGAAGACACAATAATATATAGTTTATAAGTAAGCAAGTTATCAGATTATAAGAGCGGATTGGTTGCACCCTGTATGCACATTGCTGACGATTGACTTCTGCTGCTGGTAAACTATCTTTAGTGTACTACGATGGTTGGAGAACCCAAGAATTGTAATTTAAACCCAGAACCACCCTTCTTCCATGTTTTAGTTTAACCATTGCATCCTAGAGCTTAATAATGCAAGTTTGGTTCTTGTAATAATGGACACCATAACCCATGAGTTGAAATGCATTGAGAAGTAATACATACTAACTTTGTAGAAGAATGGTGTTGGAAATATATGCTTGTTGTTTCAATTTAATATGTTTAAAAGAATGTCAAACTCTAGATGGTAAAAATCTGACACATTCATATCTGACAAAAATAAGGAGGAAATAGGCTTCTATTATTCATTTGCTTTAAAACAAAGATAATGATAGAATAAAACAAGTTGGATGGATACATTAGCCATTTCTTGCGTGAAAGGTTTTGTTTGCAAATTGCAAAATCTATGCAATAGTTGAGCTTAATTGACGCAATTCATTTTTTTGCTTATCTACATAATGCATTTTGTACAGTTGGATCGTTATTATAGGGGATAGACACTTGGCTTTTACGATGATCCCCTGGATTCAATACTTTGACTCAAACCTCAAGACAAGTATGCAGATAAGAACTTTTCATTATACTCCGATTTTGCTGATCTGCATACTTGTCCAAATGCTGTATCGCCAAACCTATTAAAATCAGTGAGTAAGCATAATAGTATGGCAAGAAGCATTTTCTTTCATAAAAGGTTTATTTCAATAACAGGGTGTGCTTATTACTTGATGTAGCTAAACTAAAAAGCAGTTCTACCGTAGCAATATTCAATATGGAAAATAATCTTTCCAGAATAAAAGGTGCACAAAAAAAATTTGTACAGTTTCTACTTATTAGGGCTCTTTTTACTTGGGTAACTCAAATTCTATTCATTTCTAGGGAACCTTTAACCTTTTTTTGCTGCAACAGAGCACATTGAGATATCAGAAAAGTTAGGTCCAGAGAAAATGTTCTAGGATTTAAAAAAAAAAAAAAAATTTGAATATTAAAGTACCGTATATACTCGAGTATAAGCCGTCCCGAATATAAGCCGAGGTACCTAATTTTACCAAAAAAAACTGGGAAAAAGAAAAAGCATTGTTCACAAGCATTTTGAACCCACATTAGTGCATGCATGTCAGTGTGAAAAGTTGCACATGAACTACATTTGTTCTTGCTGGGCTGTTCAGTTAAATATCATCCATGCAGTGAACCAAATGTTATCTGTATATGAATGAGATATGCCACCATGAGCTGGCAGTGCCAGCCAAAGATCATCATAGAGCTGGATAGACATCTATAGCAGCACCTTCTCTGGCAATCAGTCTATGGCTTTGAGGTATGCGTTTAAGTTTCTGCTGTACAATGTACTCCTTAAAAGGGTAACCTTTTCATCCCATAGTTCTCTTTAGGGTCACGGGAGGACATATACTAACGTCTTCCTTTGACCCAAAGCTTAGTATATAGCGGGATATTGCCCGCTAAATGCTTACAGAGCCGCAGGGTGGATGGATCCCGAGAATACTGTTGAGATTCAACCAGCTGGCTGATTGACAACAGGCTCTGCCTATCTAGAGGCAGAGCCAGATGTGCCTGCCCCCACCCCCATCCATTCCTCAAGTTAGCGCTGGAGGAACGGAAAGGGGTGGTGGGGGAATCCCTGTGGTCACCACTCTATGCAGGGAGATGATCGGGAAGTGAGCGACTGACTGTATGTGTTCGCTCACTTCCCGATCTATAGAGTCGACGTGTGACAGTTTCAATGTCACACGTTGGGTCTAACTATGAGGATGAGTGGCAATCACTCGCCTCATAGCTCTCCAGAAAGTTTAGTACTCTTTGCTAGAGAAACTCTCCATGCTGAAGAACTCTGCTTTTAACATCTAAACTAGTAAAAACAATCCCAGTGTCATTTGAAGAAAACAATGCGGTCGATTTACTAAAGTAGAGCTTGTTCACTTTGGGAAGTGAACTTTCAAGTTGCAACAGAATTTTCACTTAGCTTAGTGAATATGCTGAAATATTACTTTGAAAAGAATACCCAATCAAGAGCAAAGATAATTTTAGAAAAATGAGAGAAAATTCGCATTGCTAAGTGAGCAGCCTGTAACCATTTAGTAAATCAACCTCACTATCTCTATAAATAAAAATGTATAGGATATGGGATCATCATGCATTTACTGTGGATACACAACAAAGAATTAAAAAAATTAGGAGCCATGAGTCATCACATATGCTCCTCAGCATGTCACAGCTTTGGGTAAGGTTTGCAATGATAAAACATGGCTCCCACTGAATTTCCAAGATCTCTTTAAGTACCCCAATGGCCAATCCAGCTTTAGGCAAGCTCGGGGACAATGATAGTGTAATCACCTTCCTGTGTTGTTTCTAATCTAAAGAAGCCAGTTTATTGTTAAAATCACAATACATGTCTATGGTTGGAATGGCTAGAGCAGGTGTAGGCAACCTCAGCACTCCAGCTGGTGGTAAAATTACAAATCCCATCACGCTTCTGCCTCTTGGAGTCATGCTTGTGGCTGTCAGTCTTGTAGTGCCTCATGGGACTTGTAGTCTCCCCACAGCTGAAGCGCCAAGGTTGTCTACGCGTAGGCTAGAGGTTTGGATCAGGCAGAAATTATTTAAGTATGTGTGCCCAGAGGGAAATTTAGAGTTTGCAGCAGACATTTAAACCATATGCAATTAACCTATGCTAATAGACCAGATTTATTCTTCACACATATGCATCATACAATCTCAATAGAAACTAGTAGTCCATCACTGGAGCCTTTTTTTTTTATCCGATTAATCGATTAATCGAACTTAATAATCGGCTAACTAATCGATTATGAAAATAATCGTTAGCTGCAGCCCTATATGCATCGTGGTGCTGCTAGAGCCCTGGGGGAAATTGAATGTCAAATGCTGTATTGAGTAGTACATTGATTGAAGTAAATATCCAATAACGAACATTGCAAGTCCCCCAAGAGCAATAAAATAGCAAGTAATCATCAATGAATTACTTACAGCTTTGATTTAAAGAGGTGCACAATACGAATTGTTGGAGAGATCAGTGCTGTTCTTTTCCAATCAGGAGTTAATTTAAAGCTGCAAGTAATCCTATGACTTGTTTATGAATTTCACTTGGCGTACTCAGTCTAGCCTATTTACTGTATTGAATAAAGTGTGCCTTGGTGCCCGAATTAGGAAATAAGTTAAAGTGACACTAAACTCCGGTGTTAAATCTCAAAATTACATTCAAGTACCGTAAACTATAAAAACGTATCTTATTTTTGTATCACTCAAATCATCTCTGATTTTATGCTGATATTGTCCTTCCTTCTGGAGGGTGGCTACATTTGTTCCCCATGATCCGTGTGTTGAAAAGTAGCCACCGCTCCAAGCTCGCTCTTGTGGTGGACTTCAATCTCATGTTTAGTTTACTAATTTGTATTGAAACTATAGCCCATCACGGGAGTGAGCTTGGAGCGGTGGCTACTTCACAACACACAGAGTGACTATGTATAACAAAAGTACCCACCCTTCAGAAGTAAGGACAGTGTCAGCACCAATAAAGAGATGATTTGAGGATCTACAGCAGAGTGGTACACAAATAAGATACATTTTTGTTGATAAAAGGTATTTTAATGCATTGTTAAGATTTAACTCCAGAGTTTAGAGTCACTTTAATTTGACTGCTACTTGATATCCAGGCTTTAGAAAATGAGGAAACATTGTAATAAGTTATATTTAGACACAAACAGTTCCACTTCTGAAATGATTTTGTTTGGATCACAGTTTTTTTTTTAAATACTGTGTGCTACAGAATATTTAACTTTGCATCATGACAAATGTTGCCTCAGAACTTGAACCTTAACGGTCTAATCTTCTCTCTTGTATAGTATGCCAGTGAAGTATGTTATAAACAGTTCCGAGTCCTGTTAGGGTTTTTTATATCCATGAGAGGACATCTGCTTTGTGGACAAGAATGTTTCCACACTGAAATAGTTTTCAATTTATTACAGCTTTATAGTTATTGTAAATGGTGCTAAAGACCATGCACATACATATATATGTATAGTCATTATAAAGAATGGTTATGGTGCTATCGATATTTAGCCATTCATTAAATATATTTTTCATTATGTAGTGGTTGTTTTTTTCCTGCTCACTCTGTTACTGTTGGATTCTAAAATATTCCATCAATCCTTGAAAGGAAAACAAAAAATTATTTCCAAGTCTTGACATCTGTTTCACATGTATAGAGCAGTACAATGTGTGGATTTGCAGTCATTTACAATACACTTTACTATGAAGGCTAGATTACCACATTAATAACAGCAGAGAATGAAAAATAAAAAATGTTTTAACAATTTTTACTCCCATTCAATCTGTTAAATATATAAATCGCAAGTGTTTTGTTAGATCGGTTTGGTATAACAAAAAAAATACCTGTTGACCATATCGGAAATTCAGACCCGTCTCCATGTCTTAATTCCTGTGTTATATCAAGGAGAGTAATTGGTCCTCCCAGTCCTTATCTTGGGACTACAGAATGACTTCCAAATCAATACACTATGGTTCCACCCACTACTCTCACTACACTACTAATAATTAGCTTAACTTTGTATTTGAAAAAAACTAATGCAAATGCCTTCTGTTCTAAATATTTCACAACTCTCCAATGTTACACTTATAATTGCCTTTTGTTAATACGGTAATTACATTTTGTTTTTGAAATGAAGCCACTAGCCACATTCTCATGGCTTTAGTATTCATAATAGGTGTCTCTACAACAGACAATTGACTTTCCTTCGAAATGGTACTCAAACTAAAAAATTTACAGGTTGCCTACAACACCAATGTACAGTAGCAGAGTGAAATTCTTAGTTATGCAATAGTTTACTGGAAATTACATTTCAAATTGCAGTGCAGAACCACGGCCAACATGGCAGCACACAAGTGGTAGTGGCTCTGCCCCTAACTATCCACAGGGCCAGTGATGTCTATGTTTCTCTCCGACAGGGTAAACGCATTGTCTTTTTTTTTCTTGTTAACATCTTCTTGGTACTAGATTTTTGGCAACTATTTCTCTTGCCTACTGATGGTTAGTGGCATCCACCTAGGTTCAGCCTTTCCTGCAATTAAGCGTCAAGTCTTTTGACTACTAATATTGTGGCAATAATGTTGGGAGCCCCTTCTTTTGGGGCATTTTTGCCATCTGACTTAAGTTTTAAGTTTGCCCTTTGCAGGTGCAGCTCTGTCCTCTTTCCTTGACTTGCTATGGCTTCTTTGCTTTATTGCATTTGCCATTTTTGTGTGTCCCTGTCTGTGTTGTTAACCCCCCCCACCTCCTTAGCATGTTTCCCCATTTCGTACTTCCATGGTGTGCCTCTATACTTTCTAGTGCTTCTATGCCACTTCCAGGTTGTGGCTCCACTCTTCAATGGCGTGATGTTGGGGTATGCACACATGCGCCGGGAAAAAAAAATGCACAGCCGTTAAGAGTGTAGTTTTGGCTGGTATTTCCCCCGAGACCTAAAGGAACGCCTCTAAAAGCTGCATCCTGTCTGCTTGCAAGGAGTGATTTCCAAAATTTCAAAAGCCATAACCACTCATCATTGAACTTAAATAAGTCCGTCACTCCAAAGATTTCCTCTACAAGGCATTACTCTCCCTCCTCAACAAGGAGTTTACCACGCCCCAATTCTGGGATGAGTTGAGCATGTGGGGCTGATCCCATGCTGAGCAAATTAATGTGTGGCCCATGTTTTGCGGATGCTGCTACAGATAAAAAAGCCAAAAGTATTATGGTAAGTATTTCAATAACCTATGGAAGCACAAAATCTTAAGCCTGTGGTACCTCTTATCCTGCAAGTCATGAATCACTGCTACAACTTTTGACATTCCAGGGAATCAACATTAAATGGTGGGGGTCAGACAAAGTATGTTGCCATCTTTAGGAAATGACAGTAAATGTTCTGGGGCCAACATGGCAGCAAGTGGTAAATCGCTCGCTACATGGGAGAGTAGTATGCATAAAGACAAATATTTAATGAGGAATAGAACAGAAGTAGGCAGCAACCACATGAGCACCGAAGCTCGCAGATATCCAGACTGATGGGTTCACACTGTAATGTGCCAGGAGGGACCTAGACACATCCAATTCTTGCAGCCCTTGAAGATCTGATTGATCCCTGAAGGTGGGAACAATCCAATTCTAAATGATGTAAAGCCTGGACACCACTTTAGGCACAGACTTGTAGATTTCTTGGAGGGTTATACATTCAACCTTGAGCTTGAAAGTTGGAGAGTCTATGAGCTGAAGTTATCACCACCAAAACAAGGTAATTAAAAGAACACTCAAATTTTTAAATCGCAGGATCAGCAAGTAACTCTTGCAACAGTTGGTGTCAAAGTGTATGCATCTTCAAGCAGAAAGATATTGCACAAATTTAACCTGCATAGGAGGCATGTCAGGAAGAAACCTTTGCTGTCCAAAAACATTAGAGCAAGACTACAGTTTGCTATTAAACATATAGAGCAGGCCTTCTGGAACAATGTGCTCTAGACTGATAAATTAAAAAGGTACAGTGTTTGGCCACATAACAGTAGACATTTTTAGTGGAAACCGAGAGTATTTCAGGAGAAATGTCATACCAATTGTGAAGCATAGTGATGGAAATATTATGATTTTGGGTTGCTTTGCTGCTTTAGTGTCATGGTGGTTTGCAGTTATCGAGTCAAGTATGAACTCCTCATCATAGCAAAATGTGCTTGATGGCAATGTGAGACTACATTCTCAGATCTAATGTTTGCCTGTTTAAATATGTTGAAAAAGTCCCATGGGGTGTACTGACTTTTTGCATGACTATATATGGTGCTACTGTGTGAATTTTCTTTCACACAACTTGCAAATATGTGGCTGGTACTGTAAATGACAGGACTGCTTGAGATTGAGACAAGTATCCCAGTCTTCGCATGTATGGCCAGCCACAGTCATCTAATTTTCTTTAATTTCTTGTCAAGTGTTGAAATTAAACTTAAAAAGGAGAACTATGAGGTGAGTGATTTTCACTCAACCTCATAGTGTGACAATGAGACCGTCACACGTCGGCTCAATAGATCGGGAAGTGAGCGAACACATACCGCCGCTTGCTCACTTCTCGATCCTGTCCCTGCAGAGAGCCGTGACCGTCACTCACGGCTCCCTGCAGGGATTTACTCTTCCCGCTCTGATCCTCCAGCACTAACTGGCGGAACAGATGGGGGAGGGCGCAGCTGGCTCTGCCTCTAGATAGGCAGAGCCAGCTGTCACTCACGTAGCTGGTTGGATCTCGACAGTATTGTACTGAGCTTTGGGTCACAGGAGGACGCTAGTTTATGTCCTCCCGTGACCCTTAGGAGAACTAGGGGGAAAAACACTTACCCCATAGTTCTCCTTTAATCTAATTAATTACACTTACCCTGATTTGAAGGAGATGTAGCAATATAATTCATCTCAACGTCTCTTTATTACCAATACTTCTGATTAAATGTGCTAGAAACAGATGAAGTGAAAACTAGAAAAGGTCATAAAATGAAGACATAACAAACACAGACTCAAACTTAAGTTTTCATTTGCTTCTGTTCAAGGTGTTTATTGCATCTCACAGGGCATACATGCACTGGGTTTTTAAACCAAGATACAAAGGATAGCCATTTTGAAATTGTAAATATTTTTTATCCTCATTTAGAGTGTATATTATCCCCACAGTAAATTCAGATACAACCACCAATTAAATAATTAAATTTAAAGACTTACAACAGGTGAACATCGTCCCTATCCAATGAACTCTTAAAGACAGCTGCCAAGCCACTTGTAACACTGATCAACAGTGACCTTATTTGTATGCACCAAAACCTTAAAGCCAAGCTGTCAGCACAAAAGTTGTGTGTGGAAAAAAATAAACAAAAAAACAAATTATGTACAGAGAGGCAGACCAAGGAGATCTGCATGAAGTGCAGCCACAAACCGTACAAAAACTACTCACAAACTCAGAGAAAAAAAAAACATGCTAAAATGAACACAAAACATGATTGTACAATAAAACTTAAAATGTGAAAAAAACATGTAAGTTTGTATTCTTTGACAAGAAACACTCCACATAAACCTAGTCATCCTGCTGTAACTGCAATATATAGTTAAGTGCATTTTTTTCAAAATGGATGAGTATGCTAGTTTTGCTGCCAAAAAAATAAAATAAATTAATATATATACGTATATTTAAAAACAACAAAAAGATAAATATATTTCTGATATGATTTATAGTCATAGGAGTACATATCTAAATATGTGGAGAATGTTTCCAATTCCTTTCAAATTATAAATAAGCATATAAAGTACCACAAAAACAGTTTGCTTTCACAATTGATAGTCCTGTGGGTAGTTCTCACGCAGACACAAAACAAAGGTTTGTATTGGAGTGTTTTTCTGGTGTGATCATACAATATTTCATATTCGATAGAAGAAACAGAGGATGTCCAAACATTATATACATCAAAACGTTCATAAAACACAGACACATCGCTCAAGACTGCTCAGCACACAAACAGCTGCGTGTTCTGCCCCCACCAGGTAGGACCAGAAAAGCATTAGAAGGCATGGGAAAACTTACTCATGGAAAACCGGAAAAACCACAGAAAATCCAGCTACACAAAAATGAAATAAAACAGAAAACAAAATATATGATAAATACTAGCGGGTAACTGCTAAGGTTAATACACAATCCTAATGGTTACTTTCACAGCTGTGCTACGCGTTTCAGAAGAGATAAATCTAAGCACTGGGTTTGGTACTGGTGGCTCACTTAGAAACTCTGAGCAGCAATCTGTTCTTCAAAGGCTCCAAACTCGCATTTCTCATGTCAAAAAAACAGCATCTAGGGTGATAAAAGAATTTATTAGTATTGTGAGTATTTCACATATAGCAGCAAGATCATACTTTCCTATTGGAATTTCAGAAGGATTTTAAATTTAAATAATACCACAATTTTGTTTGTTTTGGAAGCAGTAGAGAATGTTAAAATTATTATTATTTTTTTCTCCCTGCCGTTCACTTTACTTCCTGCCCCAGAGAGGTGACAAGTTAAATTAAATGTTCCTGATATTGGTGACCCCATTGGAAGGTTTTCCTTACCTCCTGTCCTGGGGACCAGTGTCATTTTTTTTTGCTTTCTGCCCAATTGACCATGATCATGAGGACACCAAGGAGGTAAATCTCCCTCAAAAGGGTCTAACCCTTCCACACACTGTCCCAAAAACTAAACTAAACTAAACCATGAACCACTGCTTCTATCCACTTACATGGATGCCTTCCACTTATCAAGCCATCCCTAGTAGGTAGACGCACAACCAGTGTGTCACCAATGAGACTGGAAATGCTTGGAGGGGGTGGCATGGTATTCAAACCAAGTTTGTCTCTTTGGATTTCCCTTAATTATTGCCACTGTAGGGTTCATTGTAGTACTGTAAAATGCAAAGTCTTCTGTCCTCCTAGTACTCCACCAAGCTCAAAAGTGCAGATAGGGGAATAGGACCACTTCTTCCATATTACTGGCAGACAGTGGAGCTTAGACTTAACTAAATCAACCCGTTTATTTACTTTTGTTTAAACTGGATTATCCCTCAAAGATGATAAAACAGAGTGCAGTCGGCAAACAAACCTCTCCTTGTCTTCTATTGCATTATAAAAGCACAAACAGCTAAATAACCTATACAAAATCTAATCAAGTCAATGGAACATGGTTCTAATAAGTAAAGCTGTATTTACTTCTTTACATTGTTATTCAGGTTGAAAAAATAATAATTCCCATCAAGTTAAAAAAACAAAACAAAAACCACCTTGCATACCCAGGACCCTAAACCTGGAGTTGGTTTATAGAGGCATATTCAAAACAAAAATGCATTATTACGCATGAAGAAGTCTATGACAAAACATGTCGGGTACATGCTGTTCATCATTACACAAACAATGAAGTGTGTGAGCCATTGCGGCGGTTTGCTGTATGAGCGTGCATATGGTGCGATTTTGCACCCGTCAATATAAATGTTCTTAATTTCATTTTTAATAAAGTTATGGTTTTACACTATGAAATTTTCTGATATGCTTTTTCCCTTGAGCTATTCTAGAGCAATATATATATAAATGTTATGATTTGGACGGAGGTAGGGAGTGATCCAATTTTCGTGTATAATTGAGCTATCCATATACATCTGTATGGCCGGAGACAAACCGTAATATTGAGCTGAGTTGTGGAGAATTCTGGAGTGTATAAATCAGCAATTGGGCTATACAGTATTTGACCATTATTTATATATGGTCCACCAAATCTGGTGCGTGGATTGCGGGGAAATGGACCACTCAGGTGCTGTTCAGGTTTTAATTTAGAGAGGGTAGGAGCACAGAATTCTTTTATTTTACTCTAAAAGGCACACCTATGCAAATAACTCCAGAGCTGAGCTAAACAGTGTAAAGGCCATTCAAAGGAGAAAAAAAAACCACTTCATATTCCATCATCCACCTATCAGCTCGATCACAAACCAGGTGCTGGGCAAAAGGCTCACCGTTGCCTTGAATGCCTCAACATTAAAAGATTGAATGCTGAAACACGTTAAGAGGCGGATTATACATGGGATTTTTGTACCACAATGTGTAACCGTTTTTATGAATAAACACTCTTGATTTTGGTAAAGATCTATGGAGTGGGGCTGACTTTTGGAGGTTAAGACTGTAAGGACTGTCATAGAAATCATCAGTGGCATGACTGCGTGGCACCACATCGGCAACTCCACCATTTAAAAAATAGGTCACCATTGTAAAAGTCCAGAAATATAGATATAAAGCAATTACCTTACAAGTTTACAAGAAGTCTTTAATGTTAAGATCTGCTAAGGGATCCTTTGTTGGGGGTTTTTTGGGGCTCTGTGAAGCAGGAGTCATACTTGGAGACAGCTGCAAATCCAAAACAATGGCAAGTTAAAACTGAGTTATTAACACTATTAATGTTGCAAAATAAACACAGAGACAAAGCATACACTTTACAAACAGAACCTTACCGGAGCACCAGGAGCAGAAGCTCCAGCAAATGACGGCCTTATCATAGGCTGACCATACATCATTGGTTGTTGGGGCATCATTGGTACCCCTGTCCCAGATGAAGCCTAGAGAAAAGTGCAAAACATGAAAGTAGTAGATCTTACCAAAAGGAACGTATAGTTTTTCAATATCCTAATATAGTTTTTTAAATCTATACGACACTGTCTTGGTTATGCTCAAAATTAAAATGGGTTTAGTCAGGTAAGTGTACTGTAAACCATTGCAAATAATTATTTTCTATATACATTCTCAGCCAGTAAGTGGAGCATTAGGGTCCTTTGCACATGTTTACTAACTCAATGCATGCTGCTATGCTGAAAAAAAAACATGTTTTCAGAACTAAAGTTTACATTTACACACAGCTATATTAAATCGGAGACGCGACTCAGCCCCCCTCCATGCCGGTTTTGTACGGGGGGAGGTTGGAACTATGAAGATTTAATTAGGGACAGACGGTATGGAATCAAACTCATGTTTGCATCCTGTATTAATTTTTTGTTTTCAATATTTTATTTCAATATTTCAAGTGTGGCACTTCATTGTTATATAGTTAAAGGAGAACAATGAGGTGAGTGCTTTTCACTCACCTCATAGTTCTAGCCGACCTGTGACAATGAGACTGTCACAGGTCGGCTCAGTAGATCGGGAAGTGAGCGAACACATACCGGCGTTCGCTCACTTCTCGATCCTGTCACAGCTCTCTGCCGTGACAGGGGAGTGGCTGGATTCCCCACTCCGATTCCTGCAGCATCTCAGTATAACGCGAGCTGTAGCTTGCGGTATACTGAGCTCAGGGTGACGGGAGGAAGCTAGTTTGTGTCCTCCCGTTACCCTAAGGAGAACTATGGGGAAAAGCCCAAACCCCATAGTTCTCCTTTAAGTGAATACAGCAGTGTATGATCACAACGGAGTGTCCCAGTTTGGATGTAGAGGGGCAGGGCTTCTTACCAGACCCCGACAGCAATAAAATCTTAAAAGGAGCACTAAGCTTTCTATAACTGAACTGATCTCATTATATCCAAAACTAAGAAGTTTTGACTAAAGTTTTATTCCAGAATGTGGAAAAAATACTTCATGTACCCTAAAGGGCACCTGGTCCTGTAATGTGACCCCTTGACTGTTATAGAACCATGCAGAGCAATTATTGGACCTAATGACTCCCACAAAATGGCTGTACCAATACAGATTCCCCACCATGGTTAACAGTTCGAAAAATACATTTATTTTTCCCTTTTTAAGCCTATAGTTATTTGTCATGGACTATTTTTTCCAGCAATTATAGGCTAAAAGAGCCAACAATGGCTGTAAATAATATTATGGCAAATGAGCCCATTTATGAGCTTTGAGCTCATAACATCCACATGTTATGTGGATTGGAGCAACATTCACCATATTTATTCCCAGATAATTTTTGTACAAGTCATTCTGAATTGAGAAAGCTGGTTGGATGACCAGTGAAACGTCTTCAAGAAAAATACCGCAAGTCCAGTTGCCTTCTTCTTTAGTAATGTTAGGAGGGGTTGTGATGGGTGAGGGGCTGCTCTATTGAATGTTAAGGAAGTTAATGAAAGAAACACATTCCTCAAAATGTCCATCCTAAAGGCGGGTACACACATCGAATTTTGGTTGGTGCTGCTGTTGGTTCTTATAGAAAGACTTAAGCCCCACCGACCAAGGGCTTAAGTCTTTCTATAAGAACAGATCAATTTGAAGGTTTTAAAAAAAAACAAAACCTGGAATCATCCGTATTGTTATGTACTGTATGAATAGATGCACATAGCAAACATATAAGAGGGGTTTTCTCTAGTTTAATTGCAAAAGTGGAAATACACTTTAAGACAGGTTTTATGAAACATGAAGTCAAACACCTTCCATGATCTTCCAACCACCAGATCTAAACATTAATAGAAAGATCTGGAGCGCAGGGTACAAATTAGATTTATACACCCATAATAAAATGCAATGCAGCCAGCCAATTTAGTATCTCTGCTGCAATCAATCATTGGGTAAGGATGCCCAATGCAGGGTCCCCATCCCCAATAATGGCCTTTATAGAAGGTTTTGGAACTCATTGTATAATGTAGATTTCCATCTTCCTCATTACTTGGAGACATCTTCTTGAAAGTTCACACAAAAGCCTGCTAGTTTAGAACATTTACAACTGCATTCCTAAGAGGACTAATGCTGTTCTGATAATGAAACATGGTCCTTCTCTTTAATTCTTCTTTATATTAATATATAGTCATTTTTTTATTATTTTGTGCAACTCCTGCATGCTTTCAGTATGGTGTACAAACCTACTGGTCCTGCCTCACAACATGAAAAACTTCCCGGAAAGCGGTTAAAATCAACTTACAAAAGGTCCATCAGTAGATAGTAGCAAGATAATAGTTCCCTAATGACCAAAGTTTAAAAGTATACTTGAACAATCAAAGTACTTACTAGACCAAACCCAGTTGCTGCTGCCGCTGCTGGCTGAGCACCTGGTGCAGTACTTGCTGATGAGGCTCCCCCACTTGCTGGAGGAGCAGATCCTTGCTTAAGAAATAAATAAAACAAACTAGATAAATTTTATTATTTATAGAGAAAAGTAAAAGTTAGATTTTTGAAAATGCATTTAAAAGCATTTGTTTTGTTCAGAAAAAGAAAAGACTGATAATTGTAGAACAGTAAATATGTGCGAGTAAATGGTTGCAAGTTTTTAGTACATCTTTATTCTGTTTAAAAAAAAAAAAAAAAAGACAATGCTGTATTAGATGTGTGGTAGACCAGAGACAATCATTCTTTTTGCTCGCCTCACAATAACCTGATGAATTGTTCTTTTATTAGTTATCACAGCTATTTTGCGTAGGTGAGTAAATGCAGGTCAGTCCCTGCTACGCCGCATACGTGCAACTGTAAGTAAATTTAAAGATGCTTGGATAAACATCAGTCGATAGACAAATGTAACCCAACTAATAAACCAAAAAAAGAAAGAAAAAAAAAAAACAGTAAAGATTTTGCAGGTCTTGGGCTCAAAGTCCTATGGGGCATATTACACCAAACATTAACAGATGGTAATCATTCCCTGTAATATAAAGTATTTGCACCAGGAAGATTTACCAGCAGTGAATAATTTGTGAATGTCACATTTCCTGAAGAACATCTTCAGAGAATATCTAGAAAGCAAATTCTCATAAATCATGGAAAAATCATGAAGGGACATCTCTCCAACGAGAACAAAAACCAGAAAAAACACATTTTTGTTAGAAGAGGGGTATAATGGAAGCTCTCTGGTTTGTATTGCTGTGTGAATCTCTCTGTCCCAGTGGTAACAATTCTGCTTGCTCCCAAACAGGGAGCAAAGACAATATACCCATTTGAATCATAGAGCGCAACATATTAAAAGAAAAGTTAAAAATCTTCCCTACTCTATACAAAACAAAAAAAAATAAATGTCAAACAAAAATTAAAAAAAATATTAAAAAAATTAATACAAAATCCAGACATGAATTACCATAGGAGCAGTTGATGAGCCACCAGTTGCCCATGTTGCTGGAGCTACCTTTGGCTGCCAGTTGGCACCACCTGTGAGTTTTTTTTCTCCTGCATTCCACAGAAGGTCTCCCCTAAAGAATATGAAAATATTTTGCGCATAACATCCTTTGTCACAAGCAGGTTGTTTATGGAATACATTTTTTAAAAATTGTTTTCCTATCTGCAAGCAACACATATATTGTCCTATCTGCAAACAACAAAAATAATTTTAAGTTGTCCCAACCGCCACTGTTTAGTTCCATCATGCATGGGAATCTGTCCAATTACATAAAACACAATTTGAAGGCGCAAAAGTCTGTCCGGAGTAATGTAGCTATAGTGTAATTGGAGTGCATCCATAAGGCATTTTAGTATAATACCACTGTCATTAAAGAAGAACTATGAGGTGAGTGCTTTTCACTCACCTCATAGTTCTAGCCGACCTGTGACAATGAGACTGTCACAGGTCGGCTCAGTAGATCGGGAGGTGAGCGAACACATACCGGGTTCGCTCGCCTCTCGATCCTGTCACGGCTCTCTGCCGTGACAGGGGGAGGGGCTGGATTCCCCTCTCCGATCTGCCAGCGCTGACTGGCGGAACGGACGGGGGAGGGGGCGGGTACAGCTGGCTCTGCCTCTAGATAGGCAGAGCCAGCTGTCACTCACGCAGCTGGGCGAATCCCGTCATCTACGTCGGGATCCGCTGCGGCGTCTCAGTATACCGCGAGCTGTAGCTCGCGGTATACTGAGCTTAGGGTAACGGGAGGACGCCAGTTTGTGTCCTCCCGTTACCCTAAGGAGAACTATGGGGAAAAACACTGACCCCATAGTTCTCCTTTAAATCAACAACCATCTATTAGCGTTTGTTTTAAATACATTTTGGAATGCATAAAGATTGTAATGTCTTTCAGAATAGCTCTGTATTCTTCTCCTTATGGAAGGTTGGCATTCCATGAGAAACACGCAAGTGACCTTTTCAGTTACCATTTCTATGTAAAAGCTATAAATATTTTGGCCACAAATGTAATATGGCTTTCTGTAAAGTAGCAGTCCAAATATATACTGCAGGGAATGGCTTATATAAGTCAGCATTGCATAACAGGTTCAGTTGAATGTGACTTATACCCTGCATAAAAAAGTTATTTTCTGGGAAGATGATAAAACTAGCATAACAAGTCAGAAATCAGTTAAACCTACCAGAGAATTATCTGAGGGCTTTGACCATACACGGGTCATTGCAACATTTCTGAAGGAAGAAGAGGTTGTATTGCTACGATCCCTAAACAGATGCATTTGCAGTTTTGATCTGCATGTATCCATGGTTTAACTAAATATATTCTCTACACTTCAACAATGTTGTGGACTGAATTTGCAAAATATACTCTCAAGTACTTACTTTTTACCAGGGGTGCTAGAAATTCCAAGATCTAAAAAAGTAAATAGTAGATTAGTTGAGATCTAGCAATCAGAAAAACTGGGCAGCAGCACTGTGCTATCAATTGGCAAAAAAGTGTTGCTCAAAAAGTTTATTTAGTGGAAAAAATTCCTACTTACTACCAACTAAGCTTGCAAGAGAGGAATCAAGGTCACTGCCGAGACCTTTGCCGGAGCCGCCGATATTATTTGCTGATGTGAGTGGAGATGATGGGGTCTGAGATGGAGTCATAGTGGGCATAAGAAGATCTCCTAAGCCATCAAATACTAAAGTGAAAAGAAAAACGAGAGATTAGAGACCTAAAACAGTATTAGTGGAAGTATAATGAGAACAATCACAGCAGTCCAACTTTATACAATTACATTTGCTGCTAAAAATAAAAATATTTTTTAACATTCTCTACTTTCTACTTTTACTGAGCTCTGTAAAAAGTATTCATTTATAAGCAATACAATATTTCACTGCGTTTAGGACATTGTATTAAAACTAGGGATGCACCGATATATCAGCCGCCGAAACATATCGGCCAAAAATGGCACTTTTGGCAAGTGCATTTTTCTGCCGATAGAGCGGCACATCTCTGCTTTCTTTCCTCCCCGCTGGGCGCTGCTCTGTGTCCCAGTAAGGAGGAGAGAAACCGACAGCCGGCCGAGCGCTGCAGGAGGAGAGCTCTGTGAGCAGCCGGCGTCTCTCCTCCCACACCGCTCAGCCTCCTGTCACAGTCCGGCAGAGCGTTGTGGGCGGAGACAGCCCACACAGTCACAGGAGGCGGAGCTCTCTTTGACAACATGTCAGGAAGGAGAGCCAATGTAAACACTCAATGATCGCTGTTTGTTAATAATTGAGGACATAGTATGGTTAGGCTTCCACAGCAGAGCGAGAGAGCCCCGAGCGCAAATTAGCTCACATAAATATAAGCCTGTAGACAGCAGCGGCTGATAATGAGGTCTGTCACCCAGGTAAGATGTGTACCTCTGTATAGCTCTGGGTGGGATACAGCCTTCATCCTAAGTCCACAGTCTCCAGGACCTAGAACAGTACTTCCGATTCTAAGTAGGGATTCACCGCTATATCAGCCGATATAATGCCGAAAGTGCCATTTTCTGGCCGATACAGCAGTGCATCCACTCTTCTCTCCTCCCTGCTGGGTGCCGCTCTGTGTCCCAGCGGCGAGGAGAGAAACTGTCACAGGCGGCCAAGCGCTGCTGGAGGAGATCGCTGTGAGCGGCCAGTGTCTCTCCTCCCCGGACTGCTCAGCCTCCTGTCACAGATCAGAGGAGAGAAGTGTGCGCGGAGACAGCCAGCGCTATCACAGCAGGCTGAGCTCCGCTCGCTCAGCCTCCTGTGGCAGCCTGTCAGGAAGGAGAGTGGTACAAACACTCAGCGATCACCGAGTGTTTGTAAATAATTGAGGACATAGCTTGTTGACTATAGCCTCAGTTATGAATGAATGGGAAGTGATCTACATCGCCTCCTGTTCATTCATGATTGTGGTTATAGTAAACATACTCTGTCCTCATGTTATGAATGAACAGGAACACTCAGTATAGAGGGTTCCTGTTCATTGATAACAGGGGCTGCAGAAAAAAAAAATTGAGGACTCTGTGTCCTCAATCTCTTTTTCTATTTTAACCCCATGTTCGGTTTTGGCCTGACACTTTTATTTCGGTTTTGTTTCCGTTTTGAAATTTCCATTTCGGTGCACCTCTAATTAAAACATCAACACAAACAAACACAGTTGAGCTATGCAATAAGATGTATATCAGAAAGAAAAGATATGAAAAATCTAAACGCTTAAACTTTTAGTTGAACTTAACTTTGATGATTAAAATGGAAGATTGTAAGTAATCCTCCTTTCCTGGTGCATTTTCATAGCAGCTCACAATGAGTGTTAGCCGTGATGCCCCAGAAAAAACAGAAGATTGTATATTTACCTGTTGGTAATCATCTTTCCTGGTGCATTTTCATGGCAGCACACAATGAGTGTTAGCCATGATGCCCCAGAAAAAACAGAAGATTGTATATTTACCTGTTGGTAATCATCTTTCCTGGTGCATTTTCATGGCAGCACACAATGAGTGTTAGCCATGATGCCCCAGAAAAAACAGAAGATTGTATATTTACCTGTTGGTAATCATCTTTCCTGGTGCATTTTCATGGCAGCACACAATGAGTGTTAGCCATGATGCCCCAGAAAAAACAGAAGATTGTATATTTACCTGTTGGTAATCATCTTTCCTGGTGCATTTTCATGGCAGCACACAATGGTTAACGCTCCCTGAGTGCTGCCATGATGCCTCAGAAAAACTGGTTTAACCATTTTACCTTAGCTACAGAAATAGTATTATAAAATTACAGGAACTCATTTCTCAGTCATATTAGGCTAGTGCGTTTATCTTCACATTCTTCCTACAATTAAGAGGAGATTGGTTTACAAAAAAAACTTGTTTTCCAAAAGGAATGAATTTAGTGTACTGTGTGGTTTAAACCACCAAAATTACTAGCATCTACCACATCCGAGTATTTAATGAGACACCATTTTACAGCCATATTGATAGGTCTATGCAGTGTAGATGTTAATGTTAAAGAATAAGCAATCTAAAGAAGCATGCAGCGGTATAGCATAGGACATTCATTCTGTTTTCCAGGGATGCACTACAGGTTGCTTAGTTACAAGTTAGAAAAAAAAACTCACCAAAGAAATATTGCGGCACAGCCCAGCATGGAAAGTGTCATAAATGACAAAACAAACGGAAAAATAAAACAACAGCACAGAGGTACCTAAAGCAGTTACAGCAATTGCAAAAAAGCTTTGCATTTGTGTGCAGTGCACTACCCTATCTACAGCATGCACAGCAAAATGCTATAACTTTATAAAAGTGTCTGGAGATGTTATTGTGTCATACTAAATTAAGCATGTAGTCATGCAAATTCAATGCTTGGGTCCACTCTGATTCCTATCTTTATAATATAAACAATCAACATTCCTAGTAAAGCACTACATATTAAAACTTAATTCAATCAATATAAGTCTAGATACAAGTCTAGTGCTCATTCACAAACAAACTGCAACATGTTTCAGGAAAGCCATACCAAGCAACAGAAAATGGCTGAACAGATATTGCAGATATTCAAATAAAATCTGAACTACAGTATAAATAATGATGGCTATACCAGTAAGACAGACAGATGAGTGGTGGATATGGGTGACAGCCCATTGCTAAATACAGTAAACTCCACATTATCCGCCATTCAAGCAGCCAGAAGTGAAAAAAAAAAAAAGGGAGGAGGACGCATGTCCTCAATTTTTTTTTACTTGATAGATGTGCACACTAAAAAATTATGTTAGCAACTAAATGCATTTAGTTGCCAACTCCATTTTCTGTTTACATGTTGCTGCGGCTGATGGCTAGATTCCTCAGCTGGCAGGTGAATGTAAACAACGGGAAGTGGAAGCCTGCTTTTGTCTATAGCAATTTAAAATAGCCCATAGCAGAATGTAGCCAGCAGATGAATGGGGCGGGGGTTGTTGCTTGAGAGTATACTGCAACATAGTAAAGATGTTTTGAAAGACCGTGTTGCATCTTTTATTACCGTGGCATGGATATATTTGAGAAGACATTAGTACTTATGTCAAGACAAAAATGCTGTTTGCAGAGAGAGGTCCCACTATAGTTTTTATATGAGTTTGTTCAATATATGTACAGAGCAAGTTTGAAGGTTCTTTTTTGGTATACAACTATGTAATAAACGTTGTCTGTTGATCCTATGAGCCGGCAAAATGTGACAGTGCTCCCTCCAGCATTGGTATGGAGGGGAGATGCATTTCCTGCCTAGTGAAAGCACAGCAATTGTGCTTTGAGTTTACTTTTATCTTAGCAGACATCTATGACTTCGATCAGCTTGATTGAAAACAATAGATTCTCTGTACAGCTAACTTATTTCAGCATTCATCCAGCAGGGATGCTACTCACACTCGTTGTCATACACCATATAAAAATAATCTACAATTTTGGGTATAAACTACAACAATGAAAATATGGAACAGCGAGCATGTACAAAAATGATCACTACATCAAAAACATCTTTCAGGTAATAAAGCAAAATAATAACTCAATGTATGCTACAGATTCAGTATGGTGCTTAGCATTTAAGCAATGACTCATGCAGAAATAATCAATTTCCTGAATTGTGCTCGGAATGAGATATGTGCTCAATCGTAACACAAATTAAAGCGTTGTAGGACATTACTGAATCAGTTGCCATCTGTCAATTCTTTTGGTATAAAAACTGAGGAAAACAGTTACACAACCATAGTTTCAGACTTAGCGGCTTCAATATTTATGCACTGTAACCTTAGACAAAAACAGAAGGTTAGAGAATGGTTAAAAAAAAAAAAAATTTACTTAAACAAACATTACCTGATGCATCAAAAGAGCTGCCAGTGGCTGAAGGAGCCGGAGCTGCAGCAGGGGAAGGGGCAGAAGCAGGCTGACTGGCTCCAAATGCTGCATCAAAGCCACTCTGAATGAGGTTATTCTGTGCTGCAGTAATCGGTGCAGGAGTTGGACTGATAAAAGATCCCCCAAATCCTACAAACAAAAGTAGAATGGCATGTGAATATGCACATTTATAATTGCTCAAAAACAGTCATCAACTAGTATATATACAACAGTTCGCCCATAAAAAGTGATTCCACAAGATTTGCCATCAGTCATTTTGCAATCAATGGTTCTCGAAAGATTGGCCACGTTACGTGACGAACGCTCAGTAAGTGCAAATAGATTTTCTTCAAAAGTGCACCTCCAAGATTTGACTAAAGAAATGGTTGAATCACATAACAAGGGGAATGTATCAAGCTAGATATTGACAGGGCCATATTTAGCGAAAGCCGAGCTGCCTCAGCAAAGGTATTTTTGGAATAGTTTCCATGCATATTTATTGTACTTGTAAAAGCTTTCTACTTAAACCATGTCCACACCTAGAAATGATGAGGGGCCTGGCTGGCACAGATATAGTCTTGTCCAATCTGCAGAGAATCATGCAATTCATGAACTGTCTTATTTCCACGCTGTGGAACATATCCTGGTCAATCAGACTTCACAATATATTGATAAATTTAAGATTTGCCAAAATTTGCCCCCTCAAGTTCCTTGTATTGCCCCAAAATTCTTGTGGTTCTTTGTAAATATACTTAAAGATCAAGTCCTGATAACATGTATTTTTTTTCATCTAGCTTTGTATGGGGTAGAGAGGGGATGGAACCCGTCATGGTTTTTATTCATGAACGCTCACACTTGAAAGATTTTCAATTCAACTGAAACATGGATTAAAAAGGGAAATTCCACCTTTTGGACAAAAAATAAATGCACACTTCATTAAAAAAAAAAAAAGTGTTTTATTATAAAATCTCTTTTGCATTGGAGCCAGTAAAGCATTGTAACTGTAATTGGTGGTTTGTGGGTGCAATGATCTGGCTCCTGCAAACCCTTCCTTCCATCGATGTCTGTACCGAGGTATGGACATTCAGTAACATGGATGGGATGAAGAATTAATGTACTACAAGTGTGGTAACATTATTGCACTTGTATTCAATTAAGAACTACAAGTCCCTCTGCCGTGGCAACAGATTAGAATTGTAGTTTCCCCATTCACAGATCTTTTCAAAGAATCCACACAGCCGCATCAAATTCAAACATGTAAGCAAGTCTGCAGGGAGAAGAAAACCACAGGTAAGAGGGCGGTGGTAGGGGAAGGTCGCAATCTGCTTTATGCTATGGGTGTAACACGAAACTTGGTCAACAAGGTGAAGTTAGCATTTAAAGGGGAAAATCTCTTCCAAAAGAGACACACAGCAATAAAAACACTTTTATTAGTAGAAAGGTAAAGAGGTAAAACCTCTGTCATATTTGTACTGCTGTCTGTATACCTGCTGGGGAAGACACCAATAGCACCTGACAGAGGTTTGAAAACTTCCCCATCTTATTAAAAGCTTTTGGGTAGATTTAACAATAATACATTTTACAATTAAAAATTGCAACAGAATGGAGTTTGCATTAAAGACATTTACCAGCCAACAGATCTGCAGAAGCAGATGTTCCGGTAGGTGCCAAAGCTGGAGGTTGTGGTTCAGCTACACTTTCAAAAGCATCTGTATTTTGCACAGAGAGAAAAAAAAAGTGAGAAGAGAGGAAAAGTATGGAGAAAGCAATCACTTTGAATTAGTGAATCTCTAG